GACTATGACGGACAAAAAAGCACAGACGGACAAAAAAAAAGGTCCGTCAGCTGGCAGCTTCTGGAGCGGAGAAACTAACCGAACAAATCGCCTCTAAATCATCTGGTGAGTTAATTATCTGCTGTGTGCAACGTTCACTTGCTCTTTAGTAATTAAATCAAACCAAACCAAGTCTTTTATTTTATCTTGCTTACTTTATTTCACCCGCCGAGGGCAGACACTCCTCCCACACCCCACTGCCGCTGCTGCTTCTCGTTCTGGTGTGAATGCGTCTGTCCAGCATCCAGATGCGTGTGTTTTGAGATTTTTGGAGGCGCGCAACGCGTTTGGTGTGAACGTAGCATGAGAGAAACAGGATGAGCATGCTCCCGCTGTGACACYCACTCTCTGTCGGACCCGGAGTTTGGTCATGATCGCAAGTTGCAAGTGTTGTTTACATATCACAATAAAATAAAATGTTCATGTGTATTTGGCCCGGTGTGCTTTCTATAGAAAAATATTAACAACGCTCCGAACCCAACAACGTTTAACTCAATTGGACTTTAGATACAAAAGTCGGGGCTCGGTTATGGATGGGTAAGACTACTCAGGTAGCTCCTCAGCACGTGCAAGTTGAACGTCTTTAAAATAACTACGACGCTCTGAACACAACAATGTTTAACCCGGCGTTTAAAACAAAGTTAGACTCTAGATTAAAAAAAAGACTGGGCTGGTCAGGTCTCGGTTCTGGAAGATGGGTTGAATGGTGATACAGCTCAGGGGTCGGATTTATGAAACTGACGTACYCAAAAAAGGAGCCCAGAAACTTGCATAGGCCACTTTTCACGCCTAGGTTGTGATTTCTAAAATCCAAACTTGACGTGAAAATGTGCGGTGCGCCTCACGTCAGCTCTGACCAGGACCAGATTAACACTTCGCTGTACCCTGGGCAACAATGTTCAAGGGCCCCATCATCACGACCCCAGGATTACCAGTCTGGCAAAATACAGAGTAAATTATTGCAATATATAGTAAATATACTCAATACTTCAAATTCTAAGTGTATTTTGATGTACAAATGCTCATAGAACTACAAATAGACTATGTCATCTTATCAAGGACACTCCTTTACAAGATGCTATAAAAACAAAACACATCAATATAATCT